ACTTATGGTCTATCTAGGTCTATGATTCTGTTCCACCAAAGAGTTCATTTCATTGTAAGAATAAAATATTTAATGTGATCACTTAGATGAATCTACTTTTTAAATTTCATCTTTAACTTTCTTTGTAAAGGTTCAGTCCTTTGTAGTTTAAAAAGCAAATTATGATATGGCATCAACTGAGTACTGTTATTTGCAGGCACTTTTCTAAGCATTTTGCATATATTACCCCATTTTTATTTATTTATTTATTTAGAGATAGGGTCTTACTCTTTCGCCCAGGCTGGAGTGCAGTGGCACAAAAATAGCTCACAGTAGCCTTGAACTCCTCAGCTCAAGTGATCTTCCTGCCTCAGTCTCCACAGTTGCTGGAACTACAGGCATGTACTACCATACCCGGCTATTTTTTTTTTTAATTTTTTGTATAGATGAGGTCTTACTTAGTTGCCCAAGCTGGTCTCAAACTCCTGACCTCAAGACAATCTTCCTGCCTCAGCCTCCAAAAGTGCTGAGATTACAGGTGTGAGCCACTGTGCCCAGCCACTGCCACTATTCTTAATATCAGATATTGACCTGTAGATTTTGTGCTGGAAATTTAAGGGTTAACATCTCTGAACAGCTGAACCATCATATGGGATTTTTAAATGTCTCTAACTTTAGCCAGGTAGTGTATTAAGGAGATAATGAAAAATTAAAAACTTTTTTTTTTTGGCTGAGCACTAATCTTTATGGTTATGCATATATCCATACGACAGAGAATATTGCACTTTAGATAATAAGTTACTATAAAATTGGTGGTACTGTTTAAAACCCGACAGCTCCATAAGTATGATAAGTTTTCTGAAAGTATTTCAAAGATAAGACTTTACTCTCAAATCTGAAACAAGTTCTTTAAAGATTTCCAACACCATACAGTATTTATGTAATTGTACCATTTATATGGAGAAAAACTATAGTGCTAAGGGTACAGGAGTATTTTAACCATAAAATATTTTATTGTCGAAGAGAAACAAAATAGAGTCAAAGAAATGCGAACCACACTATGTCAGTGAGAATTCTTGGCATTTAGTTTTAGAAGCCATTTTGCATGGAAATGAATAAAATATAAACACGGTACTTTATCTTGGATATGACAAGAAACTTCAAGATTGTAATGTGCATTAAGATAACATTCCAAACCTATCCTTTCAAGTTTTCAGCCAAGAATTTGTTTTTATAATTTCTCTGCAGTTGGCAAACAGCTAACCTCTACTTGAGATATCAATTTTCATGCTTATGGTCCCAATCCCATTGTGTATAACTCTTAACTTGCTATGTGACCTTGACTAAATCTTTCCCTCCACCCTGACTCAGATGGAGGGGTCGGATCTCTCGGACTCCTTCCAGTTTTAAAATTCTGTGGTTCTAGCCTGTGGATCATGACATACACCATAAAAAAGTACTTGTTAGAGGGATTGAATTTTTAAAACTTGGGCTATTTAAGTGTTTTGTAAACGATCAATCCTATACCTGGCTATAAAGAGAATATAAACTGTGGCAGCCACGGCCTATCGGTGATTTACTTGTTTTTGATGGTGGTTAGCAGCTGCTGTGCTTGTTTCGAGTCACCAAGCACCTTCTGGAGTTCACAGAAGCAGCAGTCCATCCACGTGCTTCCTGGACTCCCCGACACAAATGGGGTCTGAGAGATTCAGGATGAAAAGAGCAGTGAGCACAACCCCCATGGTCCATGAGATGACTTTGAACACCTTCCCGCCAAGCTGCAAGGGGGTGGGGACCCTGTGACACACGGCCCAGCGTCCCCCTCCAGACTAAAGTGCTTATGGCCCCTCTGCTGGGCATATCGGCTGCTGATGGTTCTTAGCTAAGACCCCCTCTGGAGCTAGTCCTTGGCTAAAGGGAGCTGCTGTCCCCAAAGCCACATACCTTTCTGGAGCTGCCTATATCTAAGGACTGGAGAATCGGTGGACGGGAGGGTTAATGGCCGGCCAGCCCCTGGCCCCAGTGGGTCCCCCTGTGAAGGGCCATATCAGTACCAGAGCTCCTGCAGCACAGGCTGAGGTCTTTGTCGCGGCCACCTCTACTGCACTGCAGGGCAGCTTCTCCCCCTGCCCACACATGTTCCCCTGAGCACCCCCCAGTTAATGTTCTGCACAGAGATCTCTGTCTCAGGGTTGGCTTCCTGGGGACCCAGCCCTGCCACAGAGATATACAGACCTGAGTTCCAAAGTAGTCTCTTCTTATTTCTAGCTGTGGGATCTGCAGGTCTTCTTCAGTAAAATGGGAATAACAATAACTACTTCATAGAATTGTTTATTATGAGAAAAGGAATCCAAAGCACATAGTAAAGGATTAGTTACAATAAGTTAACATGTGTGCACCATTTATCACACGTCAGGTGCTATTTTATATATTTTACCACAAAAGAAGTAATGAAGAAGTATGAACAAGACGACATCCCTATTTTACAGATGAGAAAATTGAGGCACAGAGAAGTTAAGTAAATCCTCCAAGGTCACACAGCTAATAAAACTTAGGACTTCAAACCCAGGCAGCCAGACTGCAGAACCAGCAGTCTTAGCTAAAACTCTACTGCCCTCTCACCAATGAAGAAAAATTTTAAAAACTTTTGGATGATGATAAACAAAAGCCCAATAATGTCACCTGATTCCAGAAGTAGCTTTAAAGTAAGGCAATTAGAAAAATTTTCCTAAGAAGTTCTGTACTCCTATAGTTTGTATTTTTGTATTGCTATAGGTTATGCTTATTTTTGCTTCAGATCAACCCTTTTTCATCAAGAAAAGGAGTGAAATAGTGAAAGGTTGGCGCCATAATCTGATGTGGTAGTGGTCGGTCACTCCATGAAATGATTTATTTTTGTTGTTTGTTTGGATTTTAGCGGAACATGTACTAAGTTTCTTTTTAAATAAAATGTACTGAATTCAAACTCAGTAAGTAAAACAATGACATATTTGACTATTACGTAGTAATTTTGTATACTAGCATGGCTTAAGTTACATCAAACTTCCTACAGTGTTTTTGTTTCTTTTTTTCTTTTTTTTTTTTTTTTGAGAAAGAGTCTTACTCTGTTGTCCTGGGTAGAGTGCAGTGGCATCATTATAGCTCACTGCAACCTCAAACTCCTGGGCTCAAAGTGATCCTCCTGCCTCAGTCTCTTGAGTAGCTGGGACTACAGACATGAGCCACCATGACCGGCTAATTTTTTCTATTTTTTGTAGAGAAAGGGTCTCACTCTTGCTCAGGCTGGTCTCGAACTCCTGACTTCAAGCAATTCTCCCGCCTTGGCCTCCCAGAGTGCTAGGATTACAGGTGTGAGCCACTGGTGCTCAGCTCTATAGTTTTAAACTTCTCCCTCCCCTGGGTCACTGGGAAGTAGGTGATAATGGCGGAGCAGGGACACTGTGACACAGGCCCTTGCTGTGCCCCACTACTCCTCATTTGCAACTTATTCTTGTGCTCCTGAGCACCTGATGGGTTGGCTCCAGTCAGGTCAGTGTTTGTTTCCATTCCACTCCTAATCCAGTCAGGTTTATGCCGTGATTTTTCTCCTAGGGAAAAATGTGCTAACGATGCCTGTTTGGACCCTACTATACTTTTAAGGACAGCGAGGTCTCTCTTACTCCTTAAGGCACAAGTCTGTTAAAGGTTTTATGACTTGCAAACGAACTGATTTTTCATCTTCTGCTATTAGACAGCTAAGGTATAAGAGAGTGCCTTCTACACCAAATAAATTAAGCATTTAAATAATTTACAGCTCCAGGTATGTTTGCCAGACGAGCATAACTGAATAAAGTCAACAGATTAAATGTTCCCTTGGCAATCAGCGAGGGTATGAGATACAGCACCTGGGCTGCACCGCTGGGTCTCGTCATTAAATCACACGCAAGAGCTCAGAATCCCAGAGTCCCGGGTGACAGGTAGGAGCTGATTTTGGAGGATGGAGCTTTTGTTCCTTTCTAGGTGTCATAGTGGTCATTACCCTCAATCTTAAGGAGGGGAAAATTCTCAGAACAATGGAGAGAGAGAGAGAAAGAAAAGAGAGGAGGGAGGGAGGGAGAGAAAGACAGAGCTAGGGGAGCATCTTCCTTCAATGTGAAAAGACTTTAGTTATTTATGTATCACTAAACTGGGAATTCAGTGCCTATTTTTACAATCTCAGAGCAAGGTCAAGAAGAGTTAGGTAATATTTTGTTTATGAAACCAATATTTATTACTGTCATGGTCAGAACAAGAACTACCCAGAAATATTCCCTCTTTCCAAATTCTAGATTTTGACCAGTACCTGCTTGTGCCTAGGGCAAAAGGCAGGAAAGTGTGGTCTATAAAACTGATGGCAACAGCAGAAAGACATCAGAGGACAGGATCCAGGAACTTACGTGTCATGTCCAGCTTACTTCTTGGGAAGCCTTTAAGTGCCAGAAACCAGTCATCGGATCTTTAACAAGTGGAATTTTAAAATCAGAATATGGTCTTAAATTTGCCCATTTAATGATGGGAGGGTTCAGATGATCAGTGGAAAGTTGGGGTGGAAAGGCAGCCGATATATAGGTTTAGTCAGTGAAAATTCCACTTTTAGATCACAGGCATTGCACTCAGTAGACAAACAGGGCCTTCTCTCTACTCCCTGAAGGTCACATAGGAATCGAAGTGTTATAGGGAAAATATGAAAGACAGAACCATGCTTATGCTTTTTAACATTGTTGGCACAGCTTCTCTGCAGATGAATGGGATAAGAAAAAGTAGAGAAATAAAAAAGCCATTCCAGGTGTATTGTAGACTGACACCTCTAGTCATTACTAGATCTGCTGGTCCTGTGAGTGTCCTTTTGGGAGGGGGTGAGAATTGGAGGGACAGAGGATAAAGGTGGTGGTAATGGTTTAGAGTATCTGACCCATAAATCATCTGAATTTAAGATAAAACCGTTAAATTGGGTCTGTTGCTGAATTCCCACTAAGCACACTAACCTTTTCGTTTTCATTTAGAAAGGGTGGAAGAGAAGCTTCCCATGCTTGGTTTATGAATACGGCCTTGAAAATGTCAACAGACGTATTGTTGTCTTGTTGAGTCTGCAGCCAGGAAGGCAGAAATCAGCCGGCAGCAGAGCAGGTGTGACTGTCCCCTACTTCAGAGGCAGTTCACTTTGAAGCTGGGAAATCAAGGACGCTGGTACCTTCAAGGAAACAAGGATATAATTATCGCAGCACCCAATTTGCCAGTGACCTTCCATTCCTCAGGCCTGCCCTACTCCCTTCGCTGGCACCAGCCCAGGTCCTCACAGTCTGAGCCCTGTGTCCCAGACTGCTCAGACGGAGAAGCAACCCACTCACGCACCCTTTGAAAGCGCTCTTAATCTCTTTCTACTACACTGCTTTTGCTGACATAAATCCGCCAGCCCCGGAGACCTCAGACCCCTCCACAGAGGGAGGCCATGCAGGCCAAGTGGAGTCTGAGCAACTAAGCCCCAGAATTTATGCTTCCTCTCACCTGTGCCGTCTGCCTGTGGCCTCAGCTCCAGTCTGCGTTTGAAGGTTTGAACAGAACCTCCCAGCTCCTTGCCAAGTCTGCCATCATCACCTCCATCAGACAAGCAGATTTCTCAAGGCCACTGGAAGCTAATAACAGGGACTCTTCACTTCATTATTATATTTGAAATGTTGAAAGCAGAAGCCCAATAAAATGAGTTCAGAAAAACAAAAAGAGCTATAAATTACCGTTTGGAAGGAGTGGCTAAAGAATCCATCTACTCAAAATACCCAGGGGTTAGTTCTCAGTTATAGCAATAATCTAGTATGTGGTTTCCTTTCCTTCCCTGTGCAAAAGCTTTGGCTGTGTTCTCTTAGCACGTAATCTTTTCTGCTTCTATGAGTCAAGTCCAGAGTCAAGAGTTATACAACACTCCCCCCCCACACACACACCCCAACCTTGGTCCTAAGGGTCTGTGAATTGTACAAATTCCTTTAGACCACTAGGAATTTATCCTATGTTATCGCCAATCGATACTCGTTGCAATTTAACATTTTATTTATTTTCACATAAAACTAAAATTCTATTTCCTTGACCTCATAAAGACTGCCTATGCTAATCTGATATATTTAATGGAAAAAAACCCAGAAGCATTATTCTTTGTAAAATCAGAAACAAAACTAGGGATGCCCATATCACTGTTACTATTTTATAATGTTTTGAAAAGTCTAGACCCGTAGTTCTCACATGGTGGAAATTTTGCTTCCCATAGAACATCCAGCAATGGCTGGAGCCAGTTTGGGTTGTCGCAACCTTCGAGATGGGGGTGGCCCTGACATGTAGTGGGTAGAGGCCAGGGATGCTACTAAACACCCTGCCATGCACGGGACAGGCCCCCACAACAAAGTGTCAGTAGTGCCAAGGCTGGGAAACCCTGCTCTATACAATGCAAAAAAACATAAACATAAGAGGGATAAAGTTTAAAAAATACCTACTTTTCATGTCATCAATTGTGAATAACATGCATCACCTAGAAAAACAAAACCAAACCATTAAATAAACATTATTAAAATTCATACAATAGTAAATAAGGTAGATGGATAAAATATTTTCAATTATGGGACAGCCTATGAGTCTTTAATATCCCTATGGATTTATTTGTGTATTCTACAAAATTTTCTGAGAACAAAAGGATTAGTTTTCCAAGAGAATACTTAGGAGGTAATAAGATTACAGTTATAAAGTTACAGGTTATAGTTATACAAAGTTTATAAATTATTTCAAAACTATGGAAACAATTAAATTTTAATGACCTTAGAGTATAATACTGTAATACAAAACATTATAGGAAACCCAAATAGACATTTCTGGGAGAAGAGATTAGATGGAGAAGGGGTGTGGTGGTTAATTTCATGTGTCCGCTGGACTGGGCTAAGGGATGCCCAGATATCGGGTGAAATACTATCTCTGGGTATGTCCATGAGGGTGTTTCTGGAAGAGTTTAGAGTTGAATTGGTGGACTTCGTGAAGGTCACCTTCACCAACATGACTGGGCATCATCCAGCCCACTGAGGGCCTGAGTAGAACAAAAAGGAGACTTGCTTCCTGTCTGAGCTGGGACTTCCATCTTCTGCCCTCACACACCGGTGCTTCTGGCTCTGAGGCCTTTGAACTAGGACTGAATTACGCCACCAGCTTTCCTGGTTCTCCAGCTTGCAGAAGGCAGATCATGGAACATCCACAATCCACATGAGCTAATTCCAACAACAAATCTGTCTCTGTCTCTACCTATCCTGTCCGTTCTGTGTCTCTGGAGAACCCTGACTAACACAGGGTGGGCGTTGGCCAGGGAGGCAACTTTAGAAGGGGTGGCCAGTGAAGGCACCACTGAGAAGGTCACAAGTAAAGTTGTGACAGAAGTAAGAGAGCCAGCCAGGTGTGCATCAGGGGAGAGAACCTTCCAGGCAGAGGGGAGGGCAGGCACAGAGGCTCTGAGGCAGGTGTGTGCCTGCTAAGGTGTCTGAGGAGCAGCAGAGCCCAGCGTGGCAGAAGTGGGATGAATGAGGTGAGTGGGAAGAAAAGCAGGCAGGTAATGGGTCCCAAGTGCCTGTGTCTCCAACGGTCTAGTGAGGATACTTCTCGGGGAGACGGGAAACAACTGGAAGGTTCTGACATGATCTGCTTGCTGTGTCGGTTATAGGCTGAAGGGAGAGGGAAAAGGGGATGGCAATGAGAGTAGTTACAAAGGGTTGTATTGGCTTGGATATACTTCAAAGGTATAGCAACAGAACTTCCCAGCAGATTGGACAGGGTGTGTGAGGAAAAAAAAATAAAAGGAAAAAATAGGAGACAAGAGGAACACCAAGGTTTCTGGCTCCCGTTGATGCAAGAAGGGAGCTGTCACTCACAGAGGTGTGAGACATCTGTTAGACATCCAGAAGGGACGGAGCAACCAGGCTGCAGGGATCAGTAGGTCTCAAGGCCCGTGCTCTGGCTAATATCTGCAGAACTTGAAATTTGAGGATTTCTACCTGCTTATAGGGTAGGAGGAAGAGGTTTCCAGAAGTAACAAGGATGAAAAAAAAATTGAAAATCTCAAAACCTCATTTCAGCTATGACTTTTAAACTTCTGTTCCTCCCAAGCTTTTTCTGATTATCTGGGCCCCTTGCCTACCCTAATTGCTCCCCACTCTTACCCCAAATACAATCTATGTATGCTCAAGTTGGTTCTGCCATGGTAGCAATAGGGCCATCAACTCCCAATGGGACTGAATGTACCTTGCACAATAAACTTTACATAACAGTAGTTCTCTGTTTGCTGACACTTTCTTAGGACCACCATGAACTCAGGCACTCCTTCCACCCTTCTGTTTGTTGGGCTACTGGCAGCCTTGAACCTCTTGGTCATTTCAGAGTTTCTCTAGGTTGGCAAAGGGGGGTCAACCTCATCGTTCAAATAACCCTGCAATATGTCAGAGATTCATCAGTGTCCTATCACTTATGTTTTCTTATCTTGGTTATAAGTCAGGGTCACTGTGATTTTTTTAGACAGCGTAAGAAAGTGGGGGAGGCAATTGATCACTGTAGAAATAAAAGACTGAACTATACCTAAAAGCAGATGTCTTTTCTCATGAATGCAGGAAGTTTTATGTGCTCACTATTCATTGTTTGGGAGGTGGGTGAGAGATGTGAGCGCAACAACATGTATTGATCTATGCAGCAGAGGTTAAGTGCTCTTGCTTATGTTGGTCTCATTTAATCCTCAAAACTATGTTGAGAGGTGGTATTATTATCTTTTATTACAGGAGGAGAAAATGAGGCTGAGAGAGTGTGAATGACTTGGGACTTCTGTGAGTCCCAAGCGTTGGCCTTCTAACCAGGAGTTCAGGGGCTCTTACTCCCACGTCACATTTTAGGCTCATAATATGAGCAAATAAAGAAATATTTAAGTGAGAAACAGATAGAGTCTAAGCTAGTGTTAGCCAAAGATGTCCTGTCTTCTCTTTCTAAAGGAAATATCCATATGGGAGAAATTTCTCCTTTGAGTATGGAGATCACTCTCTTAGTTGTCAGGAGAAAGTAGGTGAACACTTTATTCAATGCCTAAAAGATGTGATAATGGAGACAGGAATTTTCCTTTTTTCATTTGCTCAAGAGAGTGTTCAAATTCACACCCACAGGACACACACTGAGAGAGAGAGAGAGAACTATAGGACTAATATTCATAAAATGCATACTCTGGGCAGATATCATGTTAAGTGCTTTCCACGAACTATTTTTCTAAATCTTTGCATCAGTCCTGTGAGGCAAATGCTATTATCTCCCCTGTTTTACAGATGAGGAGACTGAGTCCTTAAGGTTAAGTATCTTACCTGCAATATCTAAAGTTTATGAGAGGCAGATCCAAGATCCCAACCTAAGTGTGTGTAATAGCCCATTTTCTCTGCAGCCAAATACACACCATTTGAAAACAGTACTCCTTTTGAAGTGGCTACTCTCAAACTTCACTCACGAATGTGTAAATTGGTGACTTTCAGGCTGACACCTTGGCACTTTTGACCTAAGCATAAAAATAGGCATGCTCCTTTGGCCCAGCAATGTCATTTCTAGGAGTTTTGCCTAAGGAAGAATCAGATACATGTGTGTAAAGGTTTAATGTGCAAGTAAATTCTATACATTGTTACTTAAACTATTTATTATTGTTAATAATATTGTCATTATACTGTTACTAAGTTATTATTTAAGCTATTAGACTCAAATGTCTAATAAGAGATAGGCTAAATCCATTATGGTACCTCCATACTGGAAATTTTATGAAATCATTAAAAATCATACTGTAGAAGAATATTTGATGACATGGGGACACTCCTGTGGCACATTAAGTGAACACAAGGAAGCAAATGTATAATGGACAAACAAGGCATATAATGTACATTGAAAAAATATTGAAAGAGATACACTAAACTTTCCCAAAAGACATGACCATGTTTAATTTGGCTCAAGGCTGACAACAGGCCTTCCTTAGGCCAAGGTTTAATGCAGGGTTTTTGTGAGTTTCTATAAAGACCAACACGTCTTTCCATGGAACCAAGCTCATAGAACCAAGTCGAGACTTCTTAACGCAGGCTGCAAGGCCTTCGGTGAATCCAGCCTTCTGACCACCTATGCACCTTTGCATTGTTCACCATGCCTCAGCCACACAGGCCTTCTTTAGCTCCATTCAACCCCAGTGCTATGCAGGGCCTTTGCACATGCTGTCCCTTCTGCCTGGAATGCTTTTTGCCATTCATCTCATGGTTGCCTCCTTTCTTCAGGTCCCAGCTCAAGTGTCACCTCCTCAGGGGGTCCTTCCCTGACTACCTGCTGTAAAGCAAGCGGCCCCTTTTATTCTCTCACACAGCATCTTGTCCCTTTTATTTTTTAACACGTACCACAAAATTTACAAATATTTCATCTGTCTTCCTTGTTCAGTGCCTGCTTTCCTGTAGAATCTAGGCCTCCCCCCTAAGGGTAAGAACCACATCTGTTTTGTTCACCACTGTACACCAGAGGCTGCTTGTGGTAGGCATTCAATCAATATCTGTTGAATGAATGAATCCAGTTCATATGAAGTCAGTAGGCACTGACTCTGTACCTAGCTAAATGCCACGAAAGGTTTAGAAGCTTGTTGGAGGAAGAAGACAGGAACTAGACAGCAGATGGCTGTATAATCAGAATAATACATGGACTACAACAATTCCAACAAGGGAATGCATCACTTATTTCTAAACCATTTTCTAAGAATGGCTCATTGGCTCTGAACTGTGTCCTACATCCTACAAGTAGCATGAATTGAAGGGAAATATCACTGAGCACAGGCCTCCCATTATTCTTAAAGTACCCAGGACCAGGCACACAGCGGATGTGGCCCCAGCCCGCACGGCTTCGCATGTGACCACACCTCCTTTTGTCCCATGCAGCCCCTCTAAATCCAGCTCCCTCCTTTGAGCAAGGGGAGAGAAACTGCTTCACTCCAGTCTGAGGGCTTTCCCCAAATCTCCAGGACAGCGGTTCTCAATAGAAGTCATCACTGTCCCTGAAGAACAACACGAAAAACCAAAATGGTGGGGAAAGAAAGAACAAACCACTTTTGTGCTGAAAGAGAAAACTTCATATATAAAATCCTGTAGCAGCTTGAAGAAAAATTATGGGAAGAAATAGAACAGATAAGTCTACACATTAACTTAATATTTTTTCTCCTGCAGAGTGGAAAATGGCAAGCTTCATGCGATCTCAGAGGCAGAACGTGTAGGGCTAGCGTGGGGCCCATCAGCGTTTGTGGGATATGTTGTCCACAGACTGGAAACTGAGTGTGTGAGTGTGTGTGTGTGTGTGTGTGTGTGGTAGGGGCTGGGATGGCACAAATATTTTCCAAGCCCTATTCAAACAGCAACTTCTATCTCCTACCATGTACTCTATGCTGCTATCAATTTTTCCAACAGTTGATGGCAAATTCACCTCATAAATCAATCTGTACAAGAGGTCAGAGGCCAACCACAGCCAATTAAAACCTCTCCGCAATAATTCATCCAAGATCTGAGTCAGGGTTTTTTTTTTTTCCCTTTTCAAGTCCTAGGAGGCCCTTGTTTATTCTAATCAGATCAGTAGAGGAAGAGCTAAATTGGGCAGAACCCACATTTTCCTCTTGCTCAGAGCACAGACTCAGATATTTTTATAAGAGAAAGAAGAGGAAAAGGAGAAAGATATGAGGAAAGAGAGGGCTAAAGAAAATGAGGCACTTTCTCTACATAAGGTAGTGTTGCTACCAAGGCTCCCCTTCGAGTTAGACTTGTTTCTAACTGCTTCATCCTGGAGAGCTTCTATTCCAGGTTGTTTGTGGCCTGAGTCCTGTCAGCGTTGTATCCAATAAATACAATGAAACTGCTGTTTAATGGGTGCCTGGGACGTGGAAGGCACTGTGGAAGATTGAAGGGAGTCCGGTAACTCCAGTAAGTTAGGACACTTCAGACTAGAGAAGGTTACCCAGGTGTGAGAAAGTGCTGGAAAAACTTGGCCACGGGTGGTGGTTCACACCTGCAATCCCATTACTTTGGGAGGCGAAGGCAAGAGAATTGCTTGAGGCCAGGAGTTCAAGACCAGCCCCAGCAACATAGCAAGACCCCTGTCTCTACAAAAATACAAAATACAAAAACACAAAAATTAGCCTAGCATGGTGTAGTCCCAGCTACTCGAGAGGCTGAGGTAGGAGAACCACTTGAGCTCAGGAGTTTGAGGTTGCAGTGAGCTATGATGACGCCACTGCACTCTAGCCCCAGTGACAGAGCAAGAGCCTGTCTCAAAACAAAGCAAAACAAAAAACCAGGCATATAGGAGTATATACTATAAATATATCAATACATAACTGTGCACATATATACCTCATATACTGTAACTATAGTGACTGTAACTACATTTTTGCCAAAAACCTGCATTGACCATGGACAAATTACTTAGCTTTCTAAACTTGTGTCTCTCATTGGTAAGATGGGTAATAATAACAGTACCAACTCATAGGCATGTGGTAGATTAAACGAGATGTTTGCAGAGTGCTAGCATGCTCTCCCGCCCCCAGAGTGCCCGCTCAGTGCTGGCTGTAGCTTGAAACAACGTTAGACTCCCTGGTTATCAGCTCCTTCAGTTTCAGGCTCCTCCCTCCAGCCCCAGGTCTGGCCAGACCCTTGATTGATCACTCCTGGTGCCTGCAATGACATCCATCTAACTGGGGGTCAGGGCTGAGGAACTGCAGGCTCCTGCTGGCAAATCGCCGACAGCCAGCCTCAACCTCCTCCGTGTGGCAGAGAAGACCACTGGGCAGTTCTGCCCGGTCCAAGGGGCTCAAGGCGGCCCAGCACACTCCCACCTGATTAGCAAGACTCTGATTTAATCTGACTCTCAGCCTCATGTAAGCAGACCTTTTGGTTACTTTTTAAAGCAAAATGCTTTATTTTTTTCCTTATGATAAATGTAAAAAAAAATGCTTATTACAACAATTCAAACAGATTGAGGTATATAAAATAAAACACGATCAGCCCATATCCACTCTTTTTACTCTATGTTCCCGTCCCGGGAGGTGGCCAATGATAACCATTTTGTGATTATCCTTCCATGGCTTGTAAATACTTTAAAAACACTTTTATTTTTTTATTTTTTTTTTTTTTTGATAGGCATGTGGTAATTAAACGAATGTTTGCAGAGTGCTAGCATGCTCTCCCGCCCCCAGAGTGCCCGCTCAGTGCTGGCTGTAGCTTGAAACAACGTTAGACCCCT